TTTAAAATAAATTAATTTAAAAATAAATTTTTTATATATTTAAAATGTTAAAATTAATTCTGGTCCAAATTTCAGACCCGAATATTACAAATACTAAAGAAATATTCTTTGTAATTAAAAATGAAATAAAATTATTAAAAATTATATTTAATTAAAATATTAGTTCTAAAAAGTTATTAAAAAAATCATCAAGATCCAGCCTTAACATGCCCCACTCGCCAAAAAGTAATAAGGATGCTATTAAAATATCAATTGAATATCTACGTTATTATATAATTCTAAAAATGTCCAAAATATTAAGAAAATGAATATATATTGTAATCGCAGAAGTAATTAAGAATTTAGAGTTTACATTCTTTACACAATGAATCAGGATGCCCAATAGGGTTACAAAAATGTTCATTTGAGAAAGTTTTAATAACGGAATAAATAAATTAAAGAAAACACACTAGAATCCTATAGAGTTAATATCTGTTGAACAACTCTGATGGGATGCGGGAGACAGCTTTTATTCGCAATCTTCTTACTGTTCAGAATTTGGATATTGGTCTTCTTGATATGAAATGGTTAAATAAGAGGGATGAACTACACTAGTTCAGTAAAAATATCACGCTTAATACCGATAAGGAAAATCAAAGGTTGGTAAAAATCGAAAAACAACCAATGAAATCATTATCTCTTTTTAAATAAATTCATTTAACATAAAAATCGTTATTTCTATACTTCCATTTATGAGTTTCCAAAACTAACTTAATGAAGACAATTACTAGGATATCATTTTATTACACGTTTAAATGAACAATAATAGTAAAACTTACATTCTTACTCGTTTATCAGTACCTCTGGGGGTTCATAAGGATCCCTCCTACGCGTGGACCCAATATCCAATTTATCATTTAACCAGCCATCCCAATACCCTAATACCTCGTCCGGTATGAGGGTGATCTATACCTTCCAACCCCTCCCGGTATGAGATTTCTCAGTCCTGTTCAACTGAGGTAATATTTACGGTAGATTTTTCTATGCATCGGGTCCGTATACCCTTTCTCAGGGCACCCGATGAACCTTTCATATATATATATATATCCACATCATCAATTACATACCAATATTTCATATTTATAGATCAACAATAAGTCATACAAAAAGACAATACACAAATCAAGAAAAACGTGATTAGGACATTTGTTTCGAATTAGTCAGTAGGTGAGAATAATCAGCCAAATAATCAATGAACGAGACACCAATTTAAATCAATAAATATTAGCAATTTAGGTAATATAAGAATAAATAGACAACACAGATAAGACAAATATACACTAACCGGTTACCAGCTCCACTGGTGACCTATATTCAATTAATTAGAGATTTTTAATATTTTTGCAAAATACACCATTATTCGTTAGTAGACTTTAATTTATTGTAATAGAATAAAAAGGTGTAGAAGTCTTACCCCAAATCACTATTTTTTCATTGCGCCTCCTAGTGATTCTCGGGTTTCCTGAGTTTTTCTGTGAAAATAAAAAATACGCGTTACATATTCTAAAATATCCTAAAAAAGTTAAAATAAACATTTTTTAAATTTTTTTCGGTCAGTTTAGGGTTCCATAACGACAGCACTGCCGACCTCCGGCGCTAGCTTTGCCACCCACGGTGGCGCTTCCTCTCAGCCTAGTCGTTTTAAGCCAGTTTTGGCTGGTTTTATATGGAACCTGCAAAAAATAGGGTTAGGAAGCCTCTTTCAGCAGAAAAAGAGAATAACCGAGACCCTATCGACGAAGGAATTTTTTGGTGCGGTGGTTCCGCCGTTCTTTTCTTGCGGTCGGGGCTTCCCTTCAGTTAACCTGCAACAAAATAAGGCGAGGGACATGAAGGTAAAAAAAATATGAGGGAAACGAGAAAGAATTTCATCAAAGGCATTTTTGGGTCGCGATCGCCACGGCTCAGTCAAGTTTCACTCACGTTTTTTGGTTCACCCTTTGGCCTTTTGGCTCCGATATGAGTGTGGGGAGGTTCAAAATTCTATTTCGAATGAAAAGAAAAAAATTTAACCTTTTCGGCATCGGTGGTGGCTTCGGTGTGGCGGTGATGGTGGTCAGTCTTCTTCTCCGATGATTGGTTCAATTTCCAGCCGCCCCTCTTCTTATTCTTCGATATTCTCTCTGGTAGTTAGAGTTAGGGTTCCATGTAAAGATGAGTTTAA